TGAAAGGCTCATTAGTATGCAGACTGCTCAGGTGAGAACTGCCTAATTATTCATGAGGGGGTTGGGCAGATCCGCCCATCCGCATATTGCCTTTGCAAACAAAAAAAATGTTTTTCACAATTTAAAACAATCTATTGTTTTATGTGAATGATTATCCAGAATGATTTTCAGATCAATTTGAAGCAAATACTCTAGGCGACAAAATACACTAGTCAAAAGTCTTGTGGACAGATATTTAGTATGTTATTTGTGGCCTTATATTAGAAACTTTATTTTTTAGTTTTTTCAATAACCACGCATAAACAATATTCTCTCAAAAATACAAACTGGTACATACATGTTGCTCACATATTATGGTAGCCCTGTGTGTGCTATATAGAGTGTAATTTCACCTGTGCCATTAATATGTTTATAAGCAACTGAAAAAAGCACAAATGTCAGAGCATGCCAAAACATCTCAAGGGGGGGGGGACAATAGTTCTCTTTCAAGCGTACGTTTCAGTGTCTCACTATGGGATACGCCCCTTCCTCGTATTCCTCAGAAGCCCTATTACATCACGCCAGCCCCGGTAGGCTGGCAGACATGACGTAATGTCTGGGAGTGGCTTCCCCCTTCCTCAGTATAAGAGGAGCAACACAACGTCATTACGCCATTCAAAAACCTCTTTTCGCTTTACACAGCAAGGAGGGTGATGTGGTGAGACACCTCACTTAATGCTATCAGAGAACCGGGGTTACACAAGTAACCTATTGTTCTCTTTCAAGCATACGTTTCGGTGTCTCACTATGGGATATCCTTACTCCCGTATTGCCAGATAGCCTGCCTCAAAGTCTCCTGCCAACCACACCACCGCCTCCAGGGCTGGACTACTACGCTCATTACTGCATGTGTTAAAGTTTGAGCTGTAACATCCAGCTTATAAAACCTTGCAAATGTACGCGGCGAGGACCAACTCGCCGCTCCGCAAATATCCTGTATCGTGGCTCTTTTAAAGAGAGCCCACGAAGTTGACATCCCCCTTGTTGAGTGTGCATGTAAACCAGCTAGGGGCGCATGACTCTTACTGGAATATGCCAGGGAAATCGCCACCACTATCCAGTGCGACAAATGCTGCTTAGTAATCGCCTTCCCTGTACGTGGTTTCGCCCAAGTTACGAACAGCTGATCACTCTCCCTGAACCCTTTGGTTCTTTCCGTGTAAATGGGTAATGCACACACTGGGAACAACGCATTTAACTTTTGCTGTTCTGATTAAGCAAAAGGGCGTGGATAGAAAGCTCTTAGCTCAAAAGGAATGATAGAATTAACTATTTTAGGCATAAATGCAGGGTTAGGTTTCAGAGCTACCCCTGCATCCCCGGACATGAACTGCATACATGCTGAATACACCGAAGGTGCGTGAATCTCACTTACACGCCTCGCCGAAGCCAGGGCTAACAAAACCCCGTCAAACTGCCTTCTTCCTCCTCGCTCCCTGAAGATGAGGATGAGGAGTTCTGAGCTGCTGCGGTGGGATAGGTCTTCCAAGGCCAGGCGGTTCTCTGTTCGGGTACTCGACCGCTGCATTCACGTTCAGTCTTGCAATGTGAAAGTTAGGGGGTGGGCCGGCCGTAGCTTGTGCGGAGTGGCTGAGGTGGTGAAGTCTGTCTTTCTCTGCATATAGAGTTGCAAGGCCTCCTCATCCCTCTTTTTCTCTTTGCATCTCTTTTGCATCAGTGTCAGAGCTGAGCCAAAAATGCCCTCTGCAACGACCGGTTCTTCCAAGATGGCTTATTTTTCTCTGTCAGACAGATTATCCAGATTAAGCCATCGTCCTCTCTCTTTGATAACCATGGCTTTCCCCGCGGCTTGAACCGCGCATCTCTGCAGACGCAGAGAGAGATCCGTAACAACACAGATCTCTTCCCAGTGTGTCTGACCTGGCACGGTAGACGCTTCGTCCTGCAGCTCAGATTGGTATGCGGTCAGCAGAGAGATCGCGTTCATATCCCGGACAGAGAGAGAGCGACTGCTTCATAAGTGCGTTCTGTAATGCTCGACTGGAATCGGTCCGCTTTAGATGACAACGTCGGATTTGCAGCCGCCGCCGTGCGCTTTGGGTGCAAGTGCGCGGCAACTAATGGCTCTGTGGGGGGCATTCGGAGAAGGCCTTCTCCATCCCCTCCACATCGAGAGCGGATCCTCCCTGCACGGGCATCTTGCCGGTAAACGGCTTGTCCTTCCACGTAACCGCGACCTCCTCCAGGAGCTTTGGAAAACTCGGCAGCCTCTTACCCTCATAGTGAGGCTTTGCAGTCTCTGCTACCACGGTCGGCCACGGAATATTTAGTTTCTCTGCCGCGTATTTGCACAAATCTTGCAGATCAACACTGAGAAGAGGGGAGGATGGTGCCCCGCCCGCCTCTCCCGTGGATCCCGCCGCAGCGAGGAGTTGTGCCGGGTGCGCAGGGGGGAGGAATGGGGAGTCCTCGAAGTCTTCCTCTTCATCAGAGAGAAGAAAGTCCGATTGCCCCTCTTCCTCGAAATCAAACGCGCCCTCTTCCTCGTCCATGCTGAGCAGACTGGGCAGAGGCATGCACACATCGAGCTGCTCACCCCAGGATAGGGATCCCGTGGTGGGCATCTCTACTGGAATGTGTACCTGCGGAGTGGCAGCTGGCGTGGGGCGAGGTGTCATGAGGGGATCCTGGCCCGACAGTGCTAGCCTGCGACGAAGGCTCTTCATGGTGAAGCGTGCGCAGTGTTCACATGAACTGGGATTCTTAATAGCCAATTGAGCATGTTTCAGCCTGAGACATGCAAAGCAGACCTGGTTTGTGTCATTGCATGAAATTTTGTTCCCGCATTAACCAAGTCGCACAGAATCTCCCTCACTAGCCGGGATAGTCTGCATTGCTGCATCCATCGGTGTGTCGAATTAGGGCTGAAACGATTCATCGAGTTACTCGATTACAAAAATTCCTCGAGGCAAAAACCCTGCCTTGAAGGCTCGTTAAATTCCTGTGACGCGCACTATACGCGCAGGGATCTATAGCGCGTGATGCATTTTGAATTAAGTTGGCGCGATGGTGTCCATAAACGGCAGAGAATGTCTAAAGTTTGGGATCATTACATATTTAAAAGGAAGAGAACAAGGTGCAATGTGTCTACTGCAAAGTAGACCTGGCATACCACAACAGTACGACTTCAATGAATCAGCATTCTGAACCGAAAACATCCACTCCGTGCTGTCTCACCAAGCGTCGCTGAAACAAGTTAAACTAATGGTGTTCACACCGAACGCGGATAGAGCGTCAAATACGCGTTTATCGCGTCTAGTTAGACGCTTGAACATTCGCTCGAGTTCAAATTTTTCAACTTGCACGGAACACGTTCGCGGCAAACGCGTAGCCCAATTCGCTTGAGTCGCGACGCCCGGCGCCAATGATGCGTCTATTCGCGTCTTTGCATTGACTTTGTATGTAATCTACTCGCGTTCGGTGTGAACACACCATAAGCCTATGATACATTGATGTTCGCTGATTTTAATCCCATACTGTATTTGTAGCGATGTCGTGATGCGGTTTGACTAGATATGATGTTTAGCTTTGATGTTTTTAAGTAGTAAACGTATTCACGATCAATTGCAAGAGAGTAAAAGAACCCCTTCACACAGACACACACACACACACACACACACACACACACACACACGCATGCATGCACCCTCGTCTCTCTCACGCGCCAGTCAGATCAATTGCGGCAATGCATCACATATGCTTAAACTTTTATGTAGCCACGCAACAATAATTTCAGCATGCATTCACTGTATACACCGCGACGTGATGGAGGAACAAATATTGTATTGCAATCTTAGACCTTGTTTGTATGTCACGTCTTCCAAATAGTTACAGACAACAACAAAAAATAAAATTCCCCAGCCGGCTTCTCCAAATCCACTCGTACTTTTGGGGAAGACATTTTAATCGGCTACCAAAGTAATTGAGCATAGAACATTGTTGGCACTTATACTAAATGGGTAACAATTGCAATAAATAGGCTTAGTTTTGGAGGCAAATGTTGGAGTTGGAATAAATAACAGGTTTTTTCTGGGTTTTTTTTTTTATAAATAAAAGCCAAATGCTTGATCATTTTACAGCCACATCATTTTCGTTATGCATTATGTGTTTTGGTTGTTTAAAAACACAAAAAATGTTTTATCCGATTAATCGATCAAGTGCTAGATTAATCGATTACAAAAAGAATCGATAGCTGCAGCCCTATGTCGAATAATCCTTGCAATTGGCTGGAGTGCGAATCGAAGGAGCCAGGCAAAATCGTCCAGAAGTTCGTTGCTAGGTTTGTAGGCTTCTGGTGTGAAGCGAGAAGAGGTTTTTGAATGTCGTAATGACGTTGTGTTGCTGGGAAGCCACTCCCAGACATTACGTCATGTATGCCAATCCAACTGGGACTGGCGTGATGTAATAGGGCTTCTGAGGAATACGAGGAAGGGGCGTATCCCATAGTGAGACACCGAAACTTATGCTTGAAACAATCCAACCATCTCCATTGAGTTTGCATTGTGTGAAGCTGCCTCCTTGTCATTTCTGACTTATTACAAAAAACAAAACAATGTCTAAAAGCTGCTATGATGTAAATATTTTGACGAGTTGTCAATACAATATATAACAATACAATATATAGGGTATGATTTAACCCCATAATTCAGAATATCGACAATCAATATGAGCTGAATAATGAGTCTCTTTAGCACCTTTTTTTTTGAAGTTTACAACATTTAACAGTTATTTATCTGTTTATCACAGTGTTAAAGTCTGCAAAAATACAGAAAACGTTTAGCGCTGTGGTTTACTTCATTTACCTTTGGTGTCGCTTCATTAAAGCCTGTATTGCTAAATATGCATGCAGTATTTGTGAATCTATAATTGATATTTCTAACTGACATGCTAAAGCCAAAGAGGACTGTGTGTTATAATCGTTTTCTCTTCTCCCTCAACAGTTGTATCCCAGAATCAAACCTCGGCACAGGAGTCTGGCGTAAATGAGCGAAGACTTCATCATCATCATCATCATCATCATCATCATCTGCGCTAGTGAACCTCTTCATCACGCTTTTACTTCAGTCCTGTTGGATGTTACTGTGATACTCATTCTTTCTGTCTCTTTGCACAATATGATTGAATAGAATTAGCTGATTAGAATGAACTTTATATTTGTATATCAAGACGTTTTCCACTAAAATGTATTTTCACAGGTTATTGTGGCCTGTATTTTGTATTCCGCGCTTTATTGAAGGATTTTTGGAGACAAGCCGATCTTGGACAATATTTTGATGTTTTTCTCATATGCACAATGTTTAACAACTGAAATGTAAATGTATTTGTTGAACTATGCTGGAAAAGTGGAGTTATTACTGTGAATTTCTGCCTAGATTATGAAAGTTCATTGAGACTGGAGATGAACGTAATATTGTGACAGATTTTATTATGCATTCCTTTCTTCTGTTCAGCAAACAAACCGTTTTTTTTTTTACATCTTTAGACTCTGTTAATCGACAGACCAGCTGGAGGTGAAATTTAATGTGATCAAAGAATAAAAAGCCACTGAACAGTTGTCATGAGTGAAGTGTGTAACTGTCTCCACATCGAGAGCTCAAACTCCTGAACACTAACTGTGTCTGATTATCAGTGTGTGATCTGTCATCAAGTGTGACTGCCATTTTGTGCAAAATAAAGAAATTTCAAAACAAATTTCCTGGTTAAACATTAAAGCACACTAGTGATAAACAGTGAAAATGTTTTTCATAATTTGCAAAATTGAAAATTATCCACAAATAACACTTTTCACTCAAAAACTGAGGTATGTAAGCTCAGATAAATAAGGCCTACGATTGATCAATTCCAAAAAGAAATATAAAAACGGTCCTAATTGAAAGAAAACAACTTGACTAAAAGACTTTATCCAATATTTGGTGATGATGTAGCATAATGAGAGATTTATAAGCGGTTTTGTGTAGGCCGGTCATTTTTGACTGAACATCACGAGTGTTACAATGTGGGGGAAAAACAAAGTATCAAAAAAACTATTGGGAACTTGCTAGACTCTGGGTGAGAAAAGTCAGTAAACTTTAGTCCAATACAATAACATTTACAAGAACAGGAAAACCCTCTCCGTGTCATTGTGACCCGAACACAACCTGAGGGTTAAACAACCATGAAATCAAACCTGGAGTGTTTGGCTTTTGTCTCGAGGAGGATAAGATACTGAGAAATGTGATGAATCCGTTCATGCAGTGGCATGCAGAATCATACATATATGATATACATATACATATATTATATGGCCACATCTGTGAGTCCTGAATGTACAGGTGTGAGTTCAGAACTCACTCCAGTGTGAATGTAATTGTATTAAGGACTCAAAAACAGACTGGCGACTGTATTCTGTAAAACACCGTTTTATCGATTTTTGATATTTTCCTTAGAAAATATACATACCACACTAAGAGTTATTTTGATGCATGCTGGGATGGCGGCTGGTTTTGAGTATTTCTCAGTGGAACTAGGCAATGTTTACACATTAGCATGAGGAAAAGAGCCGATAATAACTGCCTACAAGGCGACTGTGTTCTCCCGTCCTGTGTGACTGTGAAAACAGGCGTTTGAAAACAAGTGATGAATTACTTATGCAGGCTTTTGTTGCTCTATGAGCGATCATGAGGTGTAAAGAAAGAGCAGTGGAAAGCGGTTGGAGTGTGTGGGTGTGTTGTTGGAAGGGAGGTCGCTCACACACACACACACACACACACAGACAGGTTTAGGAAAGCATGGCACAGGGACACAGAGGCTTCGATCTTCTGCTGCCTGAGGAGAAAGGAGGAACACTGTATGTGTTGATGCTGCTCTCCATCTTCCCTCTCTACTGCTGGTTTCGTGGAGGAGGTGAGAGTCTGAAGTCTTTGTATATGCGTTTTTACTGTTTCTAAAGAGGACAGTGGAGTGGTCACAGGAGAGTAGGGGTGATGGGAACGGGACACAGATCTGCACTGAGCTCCAGCGCTGATATTAATCATATTTTAAGCATGTTTTTCTCCTATGTCAATGTTGTTCTTTTGTAAATAAATGCTAAGATGTCACATTATTGGCTTTAAAAAAGCACAACAGTTTAAAGTCTATGCTTGTTCTCTGTAGACTACAGGTCAAAAAACAATTATTAATGTTTTTGAAAGACTCACCAAAGTTCAAAAATACTGTAAAAACAGTGAAATATTATTCTAAAATCAGCTGTTTTCTATGTGAATATACAGTAAAGTGTAATTTATTCCTGTGATCAAAGCTGAATTTTCAGCATCATTACTCCAGTCTTCAGAGTCACATGATCCTTCAGAAATCAGTATATGATGATTTGCTGCTCAAGAAACACTTATGATTATTATCAGTGTTAGAATTATTGTGGAAACTGTGATACACTATCATACAAATGAAACAGGTTGTGTCTCATATAGGTTGTGTCTGCATGCATTGAGTGATTTCGATCAAACTTGAGCTGTATGTTCGGTCACATGGACTGTCTGATGTGACTATTGTAATTCACAGTCATAGCGCCACCAACTGGCAGCAGGAAGTGTGTCACAACAGGCCTTGAATTCGTCCTCTTTCACTTCAGACTTGGTCAGAATAATGTCAGAACACGGCTGATGTAAAACTGCCAAAGGATGTCTTAAATAGTGTTGACACGACTGTAGACACATGGCTACATTCACAAAACTTGTTATATAAATTGATTTCATCAAGCTTGACAATTTTCAAAATTACAGGCATTAGCTCCGACCAACAGGAAGTCGGCCAATTTGGAAATTTGAGACTATTTGTCTCTAATTGAGCAATTTGAGAGACTGTTTTTTATTATTTTTTTTTATATTCCTCCAAGGGGATTCATGCGATTCTCACTAAACTTGGTAAAGATAACCCCAAGACATTGAAGATGCAAAATTGCGAACAGATTTTTGATATCTTAAACAGTGCTGTCATGGCGATGGATTAAATTAATGACAAAAATGGGAAACTGGAAGAGTAACATATCTTCTGAGAACATTGTCTGATTTGGATCAAATTGGTGTTGTATGTTTGCTCATGAGGGCTGATCACATGGATGTTGCTGTTGTGGTTCACAGTCATAGCGCCACCAGCTGGCAGCAAGAAGCTTATTATGGAGTTATTATGCCATTATTTATATGTTATTTATATTAGTTATTATGTTTTATACATGAATTACTTTGCACCTAATATTGCATATTTTGAAAGTAAGACTGATTTATCACTAAAGCGCTAAGCACCATACTATAAGAATAAAATATTGTATATATATATATATATATATATATATATACTGTGTATATAGTAGTCAATATTTGAAGTGAATCAAAAAAGTCAAGAATGGGTATTGTTCAAAATTCATGTATAACTTTTATGAAAGTTTTGATCCACTTCAAATGTTGACTACTGTGTGTGTATATATATATATATATATATATATATATATATAATTTAATGAGAGGTTGTTTTTCTTACAGAGAGCAGAGAGGAAGAGATCGAAATTTCCTCTGTTTGCCATCGACCTGAAGGTCTGGAAGTGCTACAGGAAGAGACCAGATTCAGCAAGACAGAGCTGCAGTTCCTCTACAGGGCCTTCAAAAATGTGAGTGTTTCTCTACTTAAATAATTTAAGGTGGAAAGCCAGTGCATCAGCTGAGAATATTACCATCATATGGAACAAATAATTGTTACTATTTGGTCTACGTTTCGATTTTATTCTTAATTCACTGTATATTGTATTATGTTGGAGGTTTTCAGTGTTTATGTTGGGAACTGTTGTGTGTTTCAGGAATGTCCCAGTGGAGTGGTGAACGAGGACATCTTTAAACTTATTTACTCTCAGTTCTTCCCACAGGGAGGTGAGACAGCATTGCTCCAATATACCTTCTGATTATATCTCTATATATTAATATTTTTGTTAATAATATAATATTAATCTTTTTTATTTCAATGAATTATCAATTAATGCCAATATTTATAACAATCAATTAATGTCACAGTCCAGGCCAGGAAGGAGCAGAGGATCACAATTGCAGCAGATTTACTTTTAATTTATAAAACAAAGGCTTTTCAGCAGGCGAGAATCAACATAACAGCTTTGCTAAAGTAAAGACCATACCAGACAGTGAGGAGAACTAAACCGAGGGCTGAAAACTAAACACAAGTGCTGCGTGCACATCATGCTGTCATTACCGTAATTTCGAGATGACCACACGTGACGTTTTACTTGGAACTTTTCACGTCCTTGAACTGGAAACTATGCGTTTCAGTGAACACGATCACTGTCAACGGGCAACTGAATCTGGTGATACAGCGGTCACATGGTACAAGTAGGAGCTCTCAGAAAATTCCCAGTTTACAAGCTGCAATTATGAGTTCTATAAGGATGTAAATGCTTTTTACAAGTTAAAATATCATAATAATGATAATTAAGTCATGGTGTAAACTTACCTAAGAAACAGGTGCGCAAAGCAATCAGTAACCATAGCAACAAACAATGGCATAATCAGTAACACTGGATTCAGAACATAAACCTGATCATCTACCTGAAGGTCTAGACTCCTTGGCTCTAATTTTTAGGGCTCCAAGCTCCGACGTCACTGAAACACAATTGTTTTTGCTTTAACTTTTATTGTTGTTTTACTTCCCTAAAAATGTCTTTGGAGTAAAAAACGTAAATCACAAAGATCTCATACTAATCATGTGAAAACAATAAATAAGTATATCTTCACAAAAATATGGGCTAGAATCAAAATTATTTCGCTAAGTCATTGAATGAGGTCCAACACAATGCATATCTCTGATTCCAATTCAATCTATAAAAAAATCCTTCTCCTCCTAAGCCATTTGTCCTGTTCATATTACATGTATGGCCAGGGAATATGCATGTGATGTATTTAGCATGTATCATTGTGTGTCAACTTGTGTGTAACTATAATTTTTTTTTCAACCTTGCCAGTTTTGGTTGTTTCCTTCCTTTTTCCAAACTGCAAGGACCCAAATGATAGTCTTTTAATAGTAGGCAGAGTATTTATTTCAAATTCTCTCTCTCTCTCTCTCTCTCTCTCTCTCTCTCTCTCTCTCTCTCTCTCTCTCTCTCTCTCTCTCTCTCTCTCTCTCAGATTCAACCAATTATGCACATTTCCTATTCGAGGCATTTGATACTAACAAGAATGGCTGTTTGAGTTTTCAGGTAAGCTGTAGCCTTTCGTTTGAGGTACTGGCATGATTTGAGAGCCAGGTTTTCTTTCTAGACCAGTGGTTTTCAGTCCTGGTCCTGTTTGTCTTCACACTTGATTCAGATCATCAGCTGGTAGAAAACTCTCCATGAACTCAACTAAGAGAGACAGAGAACATTTGAAGAACCTACAACACTCTCTAGTAAAGATTTATTTATTCAGCAGATTTATTTTTCTTCTTCTGTTGTTATTGTTCATTTTACAGGAGTTTGTTGCTGGACTGTCACTCATCCTTAGAGGCTCAATGTATGACCGGCTAAATTGGGCATTTAATTTCTATGACAATGATAAAGATGGATTCATCACAAAAGAGGTTTGTTGATGGGGTCCTCAGCATTCACATGAATGTATATTGCATCGGTGCGTATAGAAAGACCAGTGTAAAAATATCTGTGTGTATGTGGTTTCTGTCTCTCAGGAGATGACAAAAATCATGAAGTCGATTTATGATATGATGGGGAAGTACGTGTATCCATCCATGCATGATGATATTCCCAGAGAACATGTGGAACACTTCTTTCAGGTGAACTCAAACACACAGGAAGTTAATTTCAATTCTTTCAATTGGAATCAAGAAGGCGTGTTCTCACGCCTCAATAACAGAGTCTAACAGAGGAGGGCAGGAGGGGGCTTAGGTGGAGGACACAGAGCAGGAACAATAAATTAGGACAGGCAGGGCTAAGTTGGAGAAGAATGTGGAAGGAGCCAGGGCGGAATATCCAGCAGGAGCACCAGGATGCAGACCCACAGTGGAGTCAAAGGGTGGAGCCATGGTGGAGGCTTAGCAGCTGAAACCAGGGGGACGACTGACTGCAGGGTGCCTGAGGACTGAGATAACGGCGGAGCGAATGAGGACCAATGCGGAGCTGAAGGGAAGGAGTAGCCCGCCAGATCCTAAGGGGTAGAGGGACATGAAGTCCATGGCGCAGGTAGAGCGACAACTGACCAAAGCGAAGTCAGAGGGACGAGGAAGGCCTGTGCAGTTGTAGGGATGATGGTCCTGGGTGGAGCCAAGGTGGAGCCGACTGGTCAACAGGCCGAGGTGGAGTGACGAGAACTAGTGGGTCAACACTCCAGGGCTGGACTGGCAAACACTGGCGAGCCCAGGGCACATCCAGGCGGGGAGGCAGAGCCAGCATGGATGTAGCAGAAGGGCTGAGGGGAGACAGTGTAGGCAGGGCTGAAGGACTGGGCAGTGCGAACAACTCTCTAAGTAGACATAGGACAGAAAAATCTCTAAGGGAACAACACTCTTGGCCGACACAGAACAGGCAGACCTCTTAGTAATGTCCCTCTTAGCGAACATGGAACAGGCAGACATTTCTCAGTAGGCTGACTTGACACAGACAGAGGAGGTGGAAGTGGGAGGCAGGGACTCAGGAACACAGACTCCAGTAACTCGGTGCTGAAACAGGTTCAGTGCAGGGTGACAAGACAGGCAGGATACACTCACTCTCAGTCAATCGGTAAAATCAGTAAATCTTCCTCTGCCACAGTAGAGGGGGTAGGGCTCCACTTCATCCCCTCAAACTCCACCAAGATTCCCTCTGGGACTGGCGATGTGGCCAGCTCACACACCTGGTCAGACATTTCTTCGGGCTCTGGCTCTAGGATGATCCTTGGCACAGTCTCTTTCCTCACTGGCACTGATATCGTGGTGGGCTCTGGCTCCACGTCTGCGGTGGGCTCAGATTCGTCCATCGCTAGTTGCTGTTTTCCTCCTCACTCTCTCAGATGGTGAACCATTGTGGAAGAGTACCCACACCACGTACTCCTTAAAAGTTCCTAGAGAATCGACTCCTGGCGACCGCACTCTCGTCTCAGCGTTCAAGCTTGTCCAGAAAAGCACACACAGACAGGCGTCATCATAGTGGAAAAGGTGGTGGAGATCCAAAAAAGCCAGTGTGTGCCTTTCCAGTGTGTTCAGTTCTTCTGTCACCGTCCGGTTGAAATAAAAGACGAGGAAATGATCGAAGCACAGGAGTATAAAGTTTTAATCAAACAATAAAAAATAAACAAACACTCAGGGCACAAGAATAGAACAAACAGGGTAGGCTATACCGCAACGAGAACTGACAAAGAACTGAAAGAAACACAGGGCTTAAATACACAACTCAATGAAATGAACCACATGTGTAACTGAATCAGTAACCAAGGCAACAAACATGGTTATTAACACAGGGTGGAAAACTGAAGCAAAGGAAACATGCAAAACACAGGAAAGCTGAACATAACCCTGACATATAAATAGAACCATCAGATTTCTTTACTCAATTTTAAAGAAAACTTTATGCCAAAAAGTTATTTTAAAGGTGAAATGTCTTAAATTATTGCATAATACTTTCATGTTTAAGGGATTGTTTTAATTCTTTCTAGTGATAAAGTATGTTTACGAGCTGTTTAATTAATAAAATGTATTCAAAATAAAAAAGTGACTTAAAACAAAGTTATTTGAAACTAAATCCCCAAAATGATCCCATGATGGGAACCGCTAAAAGGTTCTAATTATGAACCTCGTGACAGAACCCTTTAAGCTTCTATGTAGAACCTTTTAAAGAGTAGTGAATAAAGCAATTGTAAGATGATGACTTTGACGAACTGCTTTTGCGCTAAATGCATGACTGGAAATGTAAGACTTCAAGGCTCGAAGTCATCCTGAACTTGATCATTTTTTCCAGAAAATGGACAGAAACCGTGATGGAGTGGTCACCATTGAGGAGTTCATGGAGTCATGTCAAAAGGTTCATCTCTATCACTCATTACTGTTATCCGAATGCAAAACAAACAAATTCAGACATAAAATACTTAAAGGCAGAAAGCAGGTTTAACTTACTGTGACATTAATCGTGAGTTCATTAAACAGCATCCATTGTATAACCAGTATAACTGTATACTGTGGCAAGCCTATGCATCACACTTTGTTTGTAAATTGCATTTTTTTTAAATAAATTAAATGTATGCAGAAAACTAAGACGACACTGAACCATAAACTAAGGAAACTTTGGGCCTTAATACACACAAAGTAATAAACGTAACTAAGAACAGGTGTAATACTAATGAGTAACTATGGAAACTTAATAGCAAACAGAACTAACTACTCTACCAAAAACAAAAAAGAACGAGACCATTAGAGTTATGTGTTGTTGATTACTAACATACCCTGAAAGTTCCCACAGTTTTGGGTTTCTGAAAATTTAGGTATACAGCTTACACCGGGATAACTTACCCAGTTTAGTTGTTAAATCTGCTTTCAGTAATATTCCACAGGAAAATGTGACTCTTGCCAATTACTCTTCTTTCTTTTCTGTTTATTTAAGGATGAGAATATCATGCGGTCAATGCGTCTGTTTGACAGCGTCTTTTAGGTGTTTCTGCCCGGCTGTGGATTTCAGAACCACATTCTTCTCTCTCCATCAAGAAGTTATACATTTCCCATATAGGCCTATATATATTTATTTTCTTAGAGACACAAGATTTTGACTCCCTAGAGAAACCTTATTTGTGTGACCATCTTCCCTGAAGACAGAGACACTAAAAAATGTAAAGAGCAGCGATATATAATGCTACTTATATTGAAATATTGAAAGTTATTGTCGTTCATAAACATTCACAAGTGTCCAATGTATCATCACCTTAATGATTTAAGACAGATGGAGGAGTGTCCAAACCTGTAAAATGGCTCTGTTATGTACAGTACAAACAAAAGAATGAATGGTGAATTTCATCACATGTTCATGTGTTCATTCTGTATTATGCATTGCTATAATATTTATGTGCAGTTTGCTGTTTTTATCAGAGAGGGTGTGAACTTTGGGGAAACACACACCTGAGCTCATTTTAGCTTCTTATAAAAACATCAGTGTGCAAATATATGTTTTGGTTTTATCAATATGGTTTATTGATTTTTTTTATTTTATTTCATAGTTCCAAATGCCAGAGACGGTTAAAGTGAAAAAGGGTAATGCACCCGTGTATGATACGAGAATACTCAAGTGAGTAGTATAGAGCTCATTGGTTAACCATGGTTCTGATCATCTTCTTACTGTGTTTAGCTGTATTTGCCGTGTTTGAGTCTAAGAACGCAGAACACATTGGTTTCCAGAGTGTTTGGTCGCTGACTGATTATAGGTGACAAGCTTGTTTGCTAAACATCCCCATTGAGTGCTGTTTACCCCATTGGCTGACCAGGGGTCTCAGTTTATTATTAAGGCAAGGCAAGGCAAGGCAAGGCAAGTTTATTTATAAAGCACATTTCATACACTATGGCACAGAAAGGAATTAAAATATTCACATAATAATCACATAAAAGCAAGGACAATTAAAACAGTTATAAAAGGAATTAAAAAAGATATATGATAGAGTTATAAAATGAATTAAAAGAGTAAAAAGATGATACATAGATAAACTTCTCATCTGGCAAAACACCGGTGTATCATATTTTCCACAGCTGCTTGTTTTATTGTAAGATTTTCCCATGTGTGTGGTTTTCTTACAGCGCGCCTTAGAAATCTATTGGATGTCTCCAATAGAACCGATTTCCCCCCCCAAAAAAAGCGGACAGGAGGACCTCTAGGACTGACTCATGGGGTAACCGTGGGTCCACTGCCCCATCAGTCCGCACCCCAAAGATTTGTTCGGAAGCTCTGGGTATGGAATCGATCCAGTCCGCACCCCACACAACCTCAAGTTTGATCACGTCAAACTCACTACTCCACCGCAGACCCAGGCCATCAGCATGGTTTCATCTCTCTTACCCAATTCTCAGTGCCATTTGAGTTCAGTTTAGAATCAAAAGGAGGATGCAAAATAAAATACAGTGTAATCATTCGGACGCACAGCTGTACATTACTCATTCAGTAAATGCATAGCTAAACAGATGTGTTTTGAGTCTGGATTTGATTGTAACTACTGTAGGAGCACATCTGATCTCTTCTGGAAGGTGATTCCAGCTGCTGAGTGATCTGTGATCTGAGTGATCAATTTCTGAGTGATCTGTGATCTGATTCAGTGAGCATATCTGCAATATATTGAGGTCCTAGCCCATTGAGTGATTTATATACTAGTAATAATACTATCAATCAAATCAATCCTAAATGTAACTGGGAGCCAGTGTAAAGACCTGAGGACTGGTGTGATGTGTTCATATGTTCTGGTTCTGCTCGGCATTCTGTGCACTCGCCATAAGTGCACTTGCACCGTGCGCTTTAGACCATGAGCTTAGATCGTTAAAATAGGGCCCTTTATCTCCACTGGGAGTCTCAGCAGTCCCATAGTGATGAGCGCTCGGAACTCCATATTGCTGAGCCAGTAGTTCAGTAGTTTTTCATTACAAGATACACTGAAAATGGCACTAGCCAGATTGAATTTGGACCCACCTTTCCCAGTTCTGGATCCTTAAAACCTTCTGCGCCGTCCAGTTTTTCGGGTTAGAGGATTTCTTGATGCCGGTTTGCCCCGTATGTTCAGCCCAAGCAGCTAGACCGGACCGGGTGGCATGTACGTTGTGGGAATGGCCGATGCACAGGAGATGGGTCTTGGAAACATGCCTCCACTGCATGTGTCCAACACCCTTCATGTCACATGCTCATTTATTTATTTTGAATCACTAATCATAAATGAATCATTGAATGAATTAATCACTAACTGCTCTTGACTGAATAACTTTAGCAGCTATAATAAGAATCAACCTTTAATTCAAACAGTCAAGCAGTGTTCTGTTTTACATTTTATTATTCAATTTCTGTATAGGGCAGAATGCACACATAATGCACACATAAGTTATGATTGATTATTAATATTTCCCCTTTGAGCTAACTCGTTACAGCCTACATCAAGGTTATCGACCACTCGAGGACCATATCCAGGACTTCTTGAACATTGCCAATTTCTCTAACCTCCCAGACTATGCTCTAATAGATTTTTTCTGTTATGGACTCAATGAATATTATCAATCAACTCTCTTCCGTGATGGTCCCCGAGGGCCACTTATCAGTTTCCAGGTTATGCCCTTAATTTGGCTCCTACTTCACTGTTGGGGAGGTTGAGGAAGACTCTTCCTCTAAACTTTCTTTTGGGGTGGGAACTATGCAGCAAGCTCCGATGGCCACCAAACTTGGCCCATCACAGTCACCAGCATGCCCAGTTCTGATGATTGCTAGTCCTGTGTTTTATGTACCTCCCTGTCCTTTTGGTTCCCTCACCAGAGCCTGAGCTTCTTTACATCATGCCTGCTGAGCCTGAGCTTCTTCACATCATGCCTGCTGAGCCTGAGCTTCTTCACGTCATGCCCACCGAGCCTGAGCTTCTTCACATCATAGAAGATACAGCACTCATCATAGTCGCCACGGCTATTTTGAGTGTGTGGGCAGCACACACATCGGCTCGCCTGTGTCTCCGGACAAGATGGCAGCCTCTACGCCTGTGTCTTCGGACAAGATGGCCCACTCTACACCTGTGTCTTCGGAAAAGATGGCCGGCTCTACGCCTGTGTCTATGTCGGTGTCTTCAGACAAGATGGCCGCCTCTGCCCCTGAACCGTCAAATCCGCCCTGGCCCCCTGAAGCGTCGAATCCGCCCTGGCCCCCAGAACTGCCGGATCCGCCCTGGATGCCTACTCAGCCTGCTCCGCTCTGGACTCATGCTCCGCCCTGGCCACCGGCCCGGCCTGCTCCGCCCCGGAGGCCTGCTCCGCCCCAGCCGCCTGCTCAGCCTGCTCCGCCCGCTCAGCCTGCTCCGCTCCAGCCGCCTGCTCCGCCTCAATCTTCAGGCACTCTTCCGCTCCACGGGCCTGGCTCTCCACCCAACCCCCATCCCCCCTCCCACGGTCCGCCTCCGCTCCACCTCCCTTCTGTAAGCAGCTCCTTTGAGGGGTGCTATGTAACGGTCACCAGAGAGCCTTGAGAACCACCAGAGGGCACTCCACATCAGACTACTGTCATTCCCTCACAAACTACATTTCCCATAAGTCACTGCACGGACTCATCATCCCTGATTGCATCCACCTGTGTCTTATTACCTTGTTAGTCTCAGTCTATTTAAACCATGTACACTCATTCATTCTCTGCGAAGTCTTGTATGCTGTCTCACTGCATTTTTGAGCGTGTTTGAATCCTGTTTCTCCCATGTCCTGGTTCTTTCTGCCTGTTCCCTCAGATTTCTCTCTTTGCCTCAGCCCTGATCTGTTATTGTTTGGATTGTTTCTTTGTGTATGACCCTTGCCTGTTATCTGGATTACGTCTTTGGATTACCCGGTTTAATAAATACTGCATTTGGATCCTCAAACTTTGTGTCTCGGAGCAGCTCGTGACACTAGCAGATCTTTCAAAATTTTGCGTGCTTCGCCTGACAGACAGCGTCTTGTCTTTAGTGTAGAAAAAGATATAGAAAACAGGTGTAATTATTGTCATGAGTTTGGACACTGGAAAAATGAGTGTCCATCGTTGAAATCAAAGAAATCTTCAGTGAAATCTGTTGGTCTGGCTGCGTCTGCTTCGGAAGTGAATAATGTGCAGAAGAGTTGCACGTTTTCATGTGCTCGTCAACATTTTCTCCATTTGTTACAGATGGTTTTGTCAGATAGGTAAATTCTACGGAAGATGTACCAGTCAAAATTCTCTGGGACACCGGATCATCAGAAACTTTTGTTCTAGAGTCTATTTTATCTTTTTCAAATGACTCTTACACTGTAAACAATGTGTGGATTAGGGGTATCGGTTTGAATGTGATATCTGTTCCCCTACATAAATTTGTTTTGCATTCTGACTTAATCTAGGGAGAAGTGCAGGTTGTTGTACGTTCCTGTTTGCCTATGGAAAGAGTACAGGTAATCTTGGCTGGTGAACAAGTCTTGCGTAATGTTTCGCCGAATTTGGTGGTTACATCATCTGTGTCGACTTTTGATGCGAATGATGAAATTCTTACCTGTTCCTTGAATGTGTTTCCGCCAAGCGTGATAACACGGTATATGAGTAAAATACAACCTGACATTAACTCTGAAACTAAAAAGATGGTGAGTGCAATTCTAGAAATTCCTTCCATTTTGTCTGTCACGTGATGATTTGATTAAAGAACAAAAAGCTGATATAACTCTTATTGAATTGTTTAACCAAGTTGTCCCTTATGATAGTCGTCAATCTTCCTACTGGATATTATCTAGAGGAAGATGTATTGGTTCAAAAGTGGGTGCCGCATGGAGAATTTGTAATTGGTGATCCTGTGCTACAAATTGTAGTACCTCAGTCTCTCCGTCAACTTGTCTTACAAACGGCACATGACACATATGGAGATTTTGGAGTGAAGAAGAAGTTGCTTTTGAAACGTTTCTTTTGACCATAATTGAAGCGTGATATATCTAGGTATATTAAATCGTGTCAAACATGTCAGCTTACTGGAAA